TCCTTCCCATTTCCGTTGTGAGGCTTGAACTGATCGACATTCTTCCTGGCTTGTCTTGGATCCATACATATTCCAGGCGGCAGTTTTATCGAAGATTTCCTTAGCACTAAAACTGGCCAAGGCTTGGATGACCTGAATTTTACACCGTGGTTGGACGGTATAAATCTATAGATTATTTATGAGTACAAGGGTGCATGTAGTGATGAGCATGCATCTTGTATAACGTAACCTATATATTGCGGAAACTGTTCCTAGGTGGGATTGAACCAGTAACTCGCGGATGGTAACTTGGAAGTGCACCCATTGCACTATTGATCCACAGGTCAATTCTTAATTAATAAAAAAAACTTTAATAATTAATTTTATAGTTTATCAATTTTCAAATATTTAAAGATTATTATATATGTATATAATAAAACTTATGGATTTTTAATATAATTTGATACAATTAATTGAGTTATAAAATAAACTAATTGAGTTAAATTAAGTTAATAACAAAATAATTCTAATTATATAATAATAGTTTTTATATTACAATATATTTTTTAATTTTTTATAAGTATATTGTAAGACCTGTGGATTAATAGTATAGTGATAGTGCTCTCAAGTCACCAAGTACTGTTTTTGAGTTCAATACTATTACAAGGCAGTATCACCTAAGTTTAGGTGATACAGGAAAGATCCCATCTGGCTTATGATTACGATCACCATCACTTAAGACCAAAATCTTGTTCGATCACATGATAACCAAATATCACAAGATGCTTTAGTCAGTTTTAGTGCTGAAGCCACCTTGTCATACATGGCAGGTTCTATAAGCTCTTGCAGATAGGTTGAAGATCTGCTAGCCATAAAAACTGGGTACTAACGAAGCTCTAGCACATTAGTTTAAGAAGGGTTTCTACCAAACTAAGATTTGTTCAAGACTCCACATGATTTTCCTATAGGCAGGCCATAATAGGTCATATAAAAAGGATTTTCAATGGGATGAGACAACATTAAAGATTCCATATGGGTACTCCGTAGGCATACTATAATAGGTACTGTAAAAAGAATATCAAGCGGAACGAAATATAAAAAAGGGATTCTGTACCTTGATCCAATAGCAAAAGCTGGGAAGGGGTACAGATGTAGGGATAGGTAGTTTGGGTTTTCTCCAGTAACAAGTCACGTAGGTGTTGACGGTAGCTGTAATAGTCAATTGACTGTAATAGCTACTTGTCACAAAAATGAGTTTATCACTTAATATGTAAGATCATAAGAAAAATACAGACATAAGTTGAATAGAGTTCTGAGTATAGCACTATGAAATTTGTATTCACAGTCCATAGTGGCTTTACAGTATAAACAGGCTTCGTTAACCCTCCCAAAAAATAAATAAATAAATAAATATATTGTATATATTAGTTTTTTAAAAAAATATTCAATATAATTCTTAAATTTTTATTAACTTAATTAGAATTCTGAAGTGTTTAAAGAATTAAGGTATAAATCATCTTAAAATATTTAGAAAAATGGTTTATTATCAGTTAAAATAATTAATAAATATAGATAGTTGTAAAATATAACTGCCTTAACAAGGAATTGGCTATAATATTTGTTTCTTTTTAAATATATATTTTAATATGAAGTCATATACTTGAAAAATTTCTAATTATCTATTTTGTTATCAAAAAAATTGTATTGAATTTAGACTATAAAATATTATTCTTCTAGATACAAGTGTAAATTTAAATAGTATACTGTTGAGGGCTAAACCCATCAAGTTCATTGCTAATTCCTAGTAACTCATGTAATCACAACCAACAAAAACAATTCAACAAAAGAAAGGAATGTCTCTCCTTAAAAGTATTTAGAAAGATAGAGGTATCATGATAACTCGGCAAAGATAAATGTCCTTTTATTTATGTTCATTTCTTTTGTATAATTATTAACTATTCTATTCTAATGATGATTATCTCAGCGCCCCCCTTTGGCTTATATTTACTTGGCAATATAATGCTTTTCGTTAACAATATGCTATATACTTCGCAGTATGCTATGCCAACACTAACTTGCCAAACTCTCTAAACCTCTTATACTCTAACACTTGTTACGCTTAGATCGCGTCACTCACGTGTCCTCAACAATATACTGTATAATTATATGGCATAGAAATGGGTTTTTTAATTCATATTCACAAGAGTCGGAATAACTCTGATAATAAAGTTAAAGGCATCAGTGGTTATTATGAAAAATCTGTCAAATCTAACAAAACAAATACAAGAAAAGAAACTAGTTTTTTTTTAATATTATTCCTTTTCTCTTTTAGTAGCGGTAAGGCAATACTAAACAATGTTAATGTTACTTTGCAAGGATGTCGAGAAGGTGTATAGGACTCTAAAGAAAGTTGGTATATTTAAGTTGATACGTGCGGTGTCGAAGGATTGTTGACGTTACGTGTATTTACAGGTGTGACGTTCGATTTTATCTGTAGTGACTTTTGTAACTCACGTCACCTTGAGGGAGGTCTGTGACTTTAACGACAACACATAGCAAGAAGTGATTTTACCATCGAAATGCGGTTATAAACAAAAATCTATAAACTATGAAATATTTTCTTACCTATTTTTTTCAAAATGAAGGCGCGAATTAACGAATGCGCCCTCATTTTCCACGGTTATTTGCTACATGATAACCGGTTATAAGTTTTATATGACTTAAGCACTACAGCAGAAGTTTTTGCAGTATCCAAGTTTTATATATAGAATTTAATCATTAATGAATGTATAACATTTCAAACGTGACAAATACTGTATATAAAGTATGTTCGGTGAGACCTTAGACTTCTGGACGCATTTATAGACTATTATGTAAATATACAGTATATTATTACATTATTCTCATTTTAGTACAATATTATTTTTCAAGACCACACGAGTCAGTAGAAACTGTTAATAAGGAAATATTCAAATAAAGCTAGAACATGCTAAATACAAATCGGGTTCTTTATAAAAACTAGTGCTATGCTTGGAATTGGATTTTAATGCGTGGGCACATACTGTACATTAACTACTAATCCATTCGTTCGAACCATTTGGGAACGCCTGGAGTATCGGGTGCATAAGGTTGTTTTTCTAGAACTCACTAGTATATTCTTTTTAAAACTTTGCGGGAAACCAGAACCAATTAAATCCCGACACCTAGATGTTTATTTATCTAAGGATATCCAATTAGAATCTTACACGACAACACGAAACCTATAAATTTGAAGTTCCATCCTAAAAGTTGATTCTCATCTTCTACTCGTCTATAAGTCTAACAGACCTTTCGGTGTCTAATAAAATTCAAACAGATGAAGTCTAAACTTTGGTTTCTCACATTCATAGTCTGTCTGGTCATATATTTCACGAATTTCTCAGTGAATGTCACGGCTTTAGACGAAACAACACTCCAAAATGAAAAGGATGAATTCGTAATTCAAAATGAAAAACCAGACAATTATTTCGAATCGAATGAAGAAGCGGATTCTAACGAACGAGAGGGCACAAAAGAAACATTTGAATTCCAGGTAATCTCGTTGTAATGATGAAAAGAACTGCATTGAGGAAACGTGTTTCACTTAACTATCATGGTTTGACAAAAAAATTTCTGTGCAGACGGAAGTTAGTCGGCTTATGAAGATTATTATCAATTCTTTGTACAAAACGCGTGAGATATTTCTTAGAGAACTCATTTCAAATGGTATTCATTACTTTGTATGGTTTGCTAGAGAATTTCCAAAGATGCGATTAACTCACGTAATCCATATGCCGCTTATTCATAGCTTCCGACGCAATTGACAAGATAAGATTTCTTTCACTCACCGACCCCAACGCTCTAGCCGCAAATTCGAATTTGAACATTACAATTTTACCTGATCCGGAAAACAAAATATTGGTAATTTCTGATAGTGGAGTGGGTATGACAAAGAAGCAACTCAAAGAAAATTTGGGGACAATCGCCAAGTCTGGAACTTCGGAATTTTTGAGTGCCATTGAAGACGATAAAGCTGACGTGAATCTAATCGGACAATTTGGGGTTGGGTTTTACTCGGCATTTTTGGTTGCTGACAAAGTAATAGTTACCACAAAACACAATGACGACGATCAATACATTTGGGAATCAAAAGCTGTCAATGATTTCACCATCTACAAGGATCCAAGTGGTAATACTTTGGGTCGTGGGACTCAAATTAAACTATATTTGAAAGAAGATTCCCTTTCATTCCTTGAGGAAGGTGTTATTCGAGATCTCATTGCGAAATATTCTGAGTTCATTAATTTTCCAATTTGGCTATGGACCAAGAAAACCGAGATTGTCGAAGCCGATGAAACAGAGGTCGATGAGACGGTAGATGATAGTGAGAAAAATAAAGATTCTGATGAGCCTGACATAGAAGACATAACAGAAGACTCAAAGAAAGAGAAGAAAACAAAGACAGTTGAAGTACCCGGATGGGAACTCATGAATACGCAAAAACCTCTTTGGACACGTGATTCAAAAAATGTCACCGACTTGGAATATGAAAACTTTTATTTATCTTTCTTCAAGGAGAGCAATCCTCCCCTTGCCTGGACTCATTACAAAGTATATATTCCAGTTTTATTTTGTCAATCATTATCAATGCACTTAATTTTTAATTAAAACTCTATTACATTATCAGGGTGAAGGTGATGTCGAATTCAAAGCTATTATCTACATTCCTTCGAAGGCACCGGACAACCTTTTTCAAAAGATCCAAGATTACGCGCGTAACGTCAAACTATTTGTTAAGCGCGTGTTTATTACTGACGAATTCTTGGATTTCGTTCCGAAGTACCTAGCATTCATCAAAGCGATCGTTGACGCCGATGACTTACCTTTGAACGTTTCACGTGAAACTCTACAACAACACAAAATCCTTCAATTGATAAAGAAACATATAATCAAGAAAACTTTGGATATGATCTCCAATCTTTCAAAAGATGATGAAAAATACGAGAAATTTTTGAAAGAATTTGGCGTTAGTCTTAAGGTTGGAGCTATTGAAGATGACAATAATCGAAAGAAAATTGCGCAATTATTACGTTTTCCAACTTCCAATAAAGAATTAAATTGGACGAGTTTGGATGGATATATTAGCAGGATGAAGAAGAACCAGCAAGATATATATTTCCTCGCCGGAAGTTCTGTCGAAGAGATTGAAAAGTCACCATTACTTGAAGGTTTTAAAGTGTGGGGATTCGAGGTCCTGTACATGATAGATCCGATTGACGAGATGCTTGTTCAACGTATGCCCGGCCACGGGGGTAAAATATTCAAGAATATTGCCAAGGATGTTGATGTCAACGTTGATCTGGAAAAGATGTCAAAATTGAAATTCAAATTTTTGAAATTAACTAACTGGATACAGACAATACTTTCTGATTACGTCGAAAAAGGTAAACATTATTTGGTTGCATTTATGTCCCGGAGTAACTTCATTAACGATAATAATTTGTCATAAATGCAGTCAAGATTTCCGATCGCCTCACTACGTCGCCCTGTGCTGTTGTTGCCAATCAGTGGGGTTGGACGCCACGCCTGCATCAAATTATGTCTGGTAATTATTGGTTAACTTTATTGTCTTATTATTATTATATGCATTATTAACAGTTGAACACTCTACGAAAATCAACATAATAGCTCAAGTTTTGAAGCAAGAGAACGAATTTTTGAAAGATTTCTATGCGAAACAAAAGAGAATTTTTGAAATAAATCCAAATCACCCATTAATACTTGGACTCTTAGAAAATGTTGAAAATGATAAAGCTGATGATAACGCGAAGGAGATGGTCGAAGTTTTATATTCAACCGCTTTAATTCGTTCTGGATATGAACTTGATAATAAACTAGAGTCAGTCGTTATTTTTTTTTTTATTTTTCAATATATATTTTATCTCAAAGATTTTGTTATAAACTCCAATTGTTTTTTTTTTATTGATGCAGTTTTGCTACAAAGATTGAAAAAATTCTTCGAGCTAATTTGGGTGTGGATCTCAATGCAGAAGCCGTAGTCGATATCAGTCCTATTGTAGATGATGATAAAGATGAGGAAAAGAAACCAGTAGATTTGTTTGACGAACTAGATGACTCGACAGATCCCACAAAACCGGTTTTCAAAAATGATGATACTGTTAGTGATGATGATGATGATGAGAGCAAACGAAAAAGAGATGAACTTTAAAGTTTGTCATCTATAATTTATATATAATAATTTGGATCTAATTAGAATGACTATTTTATTACGCATAGAAATAGATGGATGCTATTCAAAGTTCGAATTTATTAAATCAAAGATATATTCCCTTCATAATCTCCTATATACATTTGGTTAGAAATCGTGGGTGTAAATAGATTCAGTGAATCACCATTTCATATGTGCATTTAATTAAATAGAGAAAACTCTTCGTCGAAACTTTATTATGTCGATCCGAGATGGTCTTTTTTCGAGATTAAGTACACCCTTTGTAAGTCCGTATAAGAATTTTTTCACACATTTCTTGTAAATTAATAAATCGATGGATTTTCATAATCTGATATGTAAAGGATTGTTTGTATAATCTGATGAATTAAATGTTGGCAGGAATTAAAACAAGTCAACCAGAATGAAAATAAGTTTTTTTTTCGGATAAAATTAAAATTAAATTAGGCGAAATTAATTTTTGGCAAACTAAATTAGGCGAAAATTAATTTCGGGGCAAAAAATTGCATACATTGAATCCGTATTAACATGTGTTAGCTAGAATAAAAAAAAAATGACGAAAAAAATTGATCGACGCCCGATGTGGGGGTCGAACCCACGACCTTAAGGTTAAAAGCCTCACGCTCTACCGACTGAGCTAACCGGGCGACTGTGATAAATTTTCAGATTTTGAGCTATTTGTATAATATCTTTTCCGAAAATGTCGATTTTTATGGATAATAAACGATTTGATCATACAGTATGTGATTTTCGATCATTTTACTAAAATAGTAATCCAAGTTACGATAAATTCGTATGCGAAAGTTATTTAATCTTTATTTTGGCGCTTACTGCTAGATTTGTTAACAATTAAATTAACAACTAACATTGTGTTAGTTATACTAATGAAGATAGTTTAGTCAGAAAGCGAAAAAATAAAAAAAAGTTGCATATAAGGTTATTAAATTTTCGAACCAAATCATACTAGTTAAATTACTTTTTTATAACAAAGTGTCATTGGAAAAAAATAACTTAATAATTAATTGGCAAAATAAAAAGTTACCAGATTAATGAATTCTAAGATCAGGTATTTAGTTAATATAGTGGTTCTCTTTAAAGAAAACATTAAAGATAAGATGTTGTCAACATATATATTATATATAAAAATTAAAATAAATAAGTTTGCAAATATTAATTATTAACGATTGATACTTTTCAAGAGTGAAAAAATAGTTTAAAAAAAAAATTGTTTTCATCTATTATTCAAAGATTAAAAAATTATAAATTAAAAATAATATAGAAATTATTTTGTTTTGAAAAATAATTTTGAGATTAATAGATTTTTTTATTGAAATAAAAAAATTGGATATCATATTTTAATTAAAATTGATTACAAATCTTATAAAAGAATTAAAAAAAAATTTTTTTTTAAATTGTTTTTATATTTATAAAAATAGAAATTTATAAATAATAGTTAAAATTTTTTTAACTATCAATTAAATTAATTATATATATATTTTTATTAATAATTATCAATAATATTATAATTAATATTAAAAACTTTTTTTATTGATTCTTTAATTATATACAAAAAGATATTTGCAAAAAGTTTTATATTATTATACTAATAAAAATTTTTTACTTTTTTTAAAACAATTTGAAGAATAAATTTAAAAGTTTCTTTTATTCTTTTTCTTACTTATACTTTTTTTTAAACAAAAACTTGACTTTCAATAATTAAAAAAATCAAGAAATATTTTTTTATTTATAGCAAAAAAATTTTAAAGAAAAAAAAATTATTAAATAAATATTATAAACCTATTTCTTGAAATAAAAATACAAATAAAAGTCTATTATAGTTAAAAAATAAGTAAACAAAAGTTTAAACCTTAAAAAATTTTTTATTTACTATTCTTATTTTTTAAAGATCTTTATTTTTTAAATTCTTTAAAAGATTTTATTTATTTTAGTTTGATTTTATATTTTAAAATAATATAAAATTAATATAATTTTTGTTAAAAAAAATTAATTAATATAAAATACATTAGTAATAAAATATAAACAAGTTCCGCTAATTTTAATATATGTTTCAATAATATTATTAATAATAAAAAAGTTAATTACTGTAATATGAAAAAACTTTTTTTGCTAATTTCTTGACAATGTACAAAAAAGATATTTACAAAAAATTTTTATACTTTTATATTAATAAAGTTTTATCACTTTCTTTAAAACAACTTAAAGAATAATTTTAAAAACCTCTTACAACTTCTTTTTTTTATTTATATTTCTTTTAAACAAAAACTTGACTTCCAGTAACTTAATAAAACTAAGAAATATTTTTTCTACCTACTGTATAACAAGAAAGTTCTAAAAGAAAAAAAAATCAATAGTAAAATATTGAAAGCCTATATCCTAAAGCAAAGTGCAACTAAAAGTCTTATATAGTAAATAAATGAATAATAAAAGCCTAAACCTAAAAACTTTTTTTTTTACTATTTCTATTCTCTTAGAGTCATTTATTTTATAGAGTTTTTGAGAAATTTCACTTACTTCAATTTGATTTTAAATTTTGAAGTAATATAAAATTTATATGTGAAATGGCAGGATGTAACATTGGATAGTCCCATAAGACAATTAATAAAAAGAATAAATAATAAAACAACAATATACTGCTAGTCACAACAAAACTGAACTAGAGACAAATGGAATCTTCAAATAGAAGACCAGCAACACTACTCATGGGACATGGTATGGGAAAGGCTAAAAAAGGAATACATGTGGAACACCTCCTTTAAAAGCTCATAGCAGAAAAGTTTTCTGATAAAATTAATCAATAATAAACTATTGGCAATGGCCAAACTAGTAATCAGGAAACCAGATCTATATCACAAAAATGACTGCTTAGCATATAATGAATAGGAGGAAATAATAGAACATCTTTTGGAATGCTTAAGATACAAAAATATAATGAAGGAAGCCTGGTCAAGAGGAATAGAGATAATATATCAAGAATTTAAGAAAGAGAGGCAGAAGTGAAAAGATCAAGCTCAAAAAGAATATAGTAATATCCCAATAGTAAATAGAAAAGAAATAAGGGAAATAGAAGCATGGATAATAAGGTTTATCGGAAGAGTATCCACAAATAATCAAGACTCAATCAGTTTCCTCTCAGGATTGATTAAAAGAGAACTATTAAGAGAAGTAAGAGAACTTGAATGTGGAGAAAAAAAGATAGGAACAGTCACCAGAAAATAGATACTCTGTTGCCAAAAGAAGATCTTGAATTACTTTAGGAAAGAAGTGTGGAACAAATGATGTAAACTAGTAATAGAATGGAAAAAAGCTTAATGAATTTTCCGAAAAGATAAAATAAGATGGCTCATGAAATCTTATTCAACAAGAAAGACGAAAAAGTCAAGAGAAGAAAGAAAGAAAATAGGGGAAAAATATTTAGGAAAAGGTTTAACAAAAATAATAATGATGGGAGTTAAAAATGTGATGAAATGGTTGGGTTTTAGACTTGGTCAGAACTTTGGCCAATAATCTGCAGTAGTGACTGCAGGCAATAATGTTCATAGTAGAAGAGTATTCACCCAAACTATAAATGGAGTGACAAATCACTTCCAAAGTTACACTTAAAGTTTGACAATAAACTAAGATGAATGAGTTAGTTAGCATTTTAGCTTTAATGACACTATAAATAGTATAACCTACATTATGTTTAATAAAGCACACATAACTAACCTAACAGCAAGTTATATAAAAAAAAAAAGTAATACAAAATTTATATGGCTTTTGTTAAAGATGATTAATTTAATATAAAATACATTGGTAACAAAATATAAACAAGTTTTTATTGGTTATATCATATAGTTTAATAATGTTATTGATAAAAAAAAGAGAACTTATAGATACAAACTTCTACACTTCTTCAAATTAAGTATAATTGAAGCAAAGAAATTATAAGGTTATTAGAATAGATACTAAATTTTCTAAGTGATGAAAAGATAATTATTTGTTCAAATTAAGGTCTTTAACTTCTTATTATTCTAGTCAAACAAAATATGTGAAGAAAATTATTTCCTTATTCCAATCAGGCTATAAAATTGAAAAGAAAAAAAATATAAGACATTGCTCTTCTTTAGAATTGAAAATACATTTCTTCAGATATTGTATAATAATATCGCAATTTAAATAAATATCATAAAATTTTTTTAATTAGACATAACTACTAAAAAATATTGGAAGTTATATAACAAGATTGAAAAGTTACATAAAAACTTAAGATCTATTATTGGTCATTCTATTCTATATAGATAAATACAAAATCAAGATTGAAAGAAAAGTGTTAAACAAGATATTAGATCTGAGTAAACAATAAGTATCTCAAATGATTATATGAAAATAATTAAGATCATAGATAGATAAGTTCCTTAAACAATTAGAAAAAAGAAGAATATTACATAAGGATTAATTTCTAATAAGAATAGGTTTTCAGTAAAGATTCTTTGGAGAATATGAAGTACTTTTATTTATTCTTTACTTTTTATTTTTATGTAACATAATTGATGTTTTTAGATATACTTTTTTTTTTCTTTTCCCTTTTATAGTTTTTCGACATCAGTTTCTTGAAGAATAGTAACAATTTATTAGCAATAATATGTAAATTAGAAGAGTATTTATCCAAAATCTAATATGAAATAAAATATTATTTTCAAGGTCGTACTTAGAAACTGAAACTCTTTTAAGAATTAAAAGTCATTGATAAGTAAGTTAGTATAAATTTTAGTTTAACTATAATACAATTGTTCTATATATTTCTATTGATTTTTATATTGATTGATAAATACAAAGTGCTAATTTGATTATGAGTTTTTTTAAAAAAAAAAGTTGATTAATATTTAATTTATATCTTAATTCTCCAATTGAATTAATCTATATATTAAGCTCTATAAGATCAATAAAATATAAACAATAAGCTCTTGAATAATAAAAAAACTACTATTTTTTTTTTTTTTTTTTTATAAAACACACAACGTTGCTCATTTTATTGATTATATGCGTTACATGTACT